TAGAGAATGTGAGTTCTAGCTCTGCCTTAAGGCATGAAAACCGACTGAGTGACTTTGGGTCAGTCACTCTCAGCCCACCTCACAGGGTTGTTGTTGTGGGGAAAATAGGAGGAGGAAGGAGTATTAGGTATGTTTGCGGCCTTGAGTCATTTATAGAAACAAAGGCAGGATAAAAAATATAAAAATAAATCAAGGTTCAAAGCTTTCCTATTTTGAAGGAACTGCAGCGGATTTAAAAAAAAGGTAGCAAGCAGCTCAAATGTCTTAAAAAGATTTACATGCATATTGGGGTTGGCAGTTGGAATCATAGAAAACAGTTGCAAATTATTGCTACTAATGCTCAGCAGACAGACAGATTTCAAGAACTTCGATGGATTTTGTCCAAATTTCTGCTTCTGCTCATCTGCCCTGGTTGTAAAAAGGTGAAGTCCGCTTCAGGGCGAATTTGACTCCTGGAATTTCTAGTAATCCCTCCTTGAATTTGTTGCTTTCAAAAAACTAAGGGTTATAACTGGCTGTACTGGTTTGTATACAGGTCTGTAGGCAAGATAGAAGTAGGAAAAATGGTGAGAAAAGATAATTGTGAATTACTTCCAGATTGTTTTCAGGAACAATACAGGCAATTTGCCTGTAGCTATGGATTACAGTGGGAAAGCTGCTGAGAGAATCTGGAAAGGATGTTGGCATGTTGTGTGAGCAGTTGATTATAGTAGTAAATGGCAAGTTAGAGCCAGAGTCAAGGCCTAGAAGCCAAGTTAACATGTTTCTTTAAACCAGTAGAGATTCAGCCCTAGATTATGATTCTTGTTGTTTTCCAGGTAAGTGTAATAGATTTTCAAAAAGAAAATTATACACTTCTTAAAAGTGTTTTGTTATGTTGATTTGCGGTCAATAATAGATGCCCAGGTCTAGATAATCTTCCAGCCAAGCAAACTTCTATAAAGATAGATCCTATTTGCCTTGATCACAGCATTATGTTCCCATATTATCTTGACTGGTCACCCTAATTATATATGTCCCTTCTGCTTCAGATTAATACTAAGACAAAGGTTTCAGTGCCTTTGACAGTTGAATGCCAATTGGAAAGTCAACCTTCCATTTTTCTTGCCATACCACATTACCATATTAAAATAAACTGGACTATAATTCTATCAGGTAACTTTCAGTTAAAGCTACAGGGCACCATAAAAAAAAGAACAAGATGGGAGTCTGTGAAATATGCACTGCACCATAACAGGAATTTAAAACTGCTGGTTTTATATAACAGGTACATTGCAATTTTACCTAGACAATGGTAACAAGATGCTGGATTATTGGACTACTGTAATAGAGTGTAACTCATCATTTATGCAATAAATTACTTGAACAGTGATTTAGCAGTGATTGGCTGCTAAGATGTGTGCTCCTGCTCCTAACATTGTTACCCTGCTGAATTCAGTTGAATCTCCATCTAGGCTGCATTGGCTCACAAGCAGAGGTGAGTTTGTTGTGGACTAAATAAACTTGCTTACCTTTCTGTTTTGTGTAATGCAAATACTTTATAAATAAGCTCAGGTAACAGGCAACATGCCCTTTCCCCATTTAAACTTAATTATGGCACAGTTGTGACTTGACCACACAAGTTTCCATCCTTGTTCATGTTATGCTGGGAAATAGTCTATCTTTTAATACTTTTTCATACAGGACTTTTTTCTCTCTCCGGTCATTCTCCTTTCAGTCTTGTTTCTTTCACTTCTTTCATTTTCTTCCATGTCCATTATTTACAATGGACTCTTGACATCCCTCCCCCAATCATCTGTCTCATCACTCTTGTATTCTTCAGAAATTATCTAAGTTTTTCATAATAAAGAATCATATCAAATATGCTTTTAGATCCATATTCATTTTTTGCCATATATATGCATTTTTTATGCTTAAACCATGTTTTAAAAACAGAGATCTTTTCTAAGCAGATGCTCACCAAACAATTACTGTTCTCATTTATTCTTGGATGCCAAAAGGCCCAATCAGTTTTTCTGTATTCTTTCATCTTGTTCCAACCCATCCATTTATATAACCTAAATAACTTTTGCCCCTGGATTCGTTCAGTATATTGCCCAATTATTTTCCAGTCATATACCTGATTCTTTCATTATCACCATTCACTGAAAGGTAACATGCACATTTTACCAACCTGTGAAATAGTTTGATGAAGGCTTTCACATAATGCTCTTTAATAAGAGAAGGGTACTGACTAAATTTCTAGCCTTAGTCATATGTGCTGCATACAGCATTTCCTGCTTTATATTTTGTCATGTTTGGATCGATATGCCAAAAACACAACAAAAACCCAGTCTACCCCTAGCATACTCATGCTATTCTATCCCAACTATGATCTCTAATTTAGAGATTACTTTACAAGCCAACATACTGTTGGCTGCATCTCACCAACCAGAACATATAGTACATGCTTTGCAAATAAATACTTTGCAATGTCTACTCAATTCCCTTACAAGTTTCCTTGTTCTTCCCATTCTGTTATTTTGTTCTATTTGAGTACACTGAGTTCAGAGATATCCCTTTACCTGTCATCAGAAGGTTGCACAGTTTTCTCTGGTTTTCCTAATCTTTCCTAGATCTCCTTTGGTGTTTGCCCAACTTCTTTTCTTAGTTATTTCTGTGGCTTTGTTTGATAGCCTGTGTGTTCTTCATTCCATTCTGGCTTTTATTATGTGCTTCTGGCTTCCTCTTTTATAATCATTTGAATTTCTTCCCACAGATTCCTCAGGCTCTGCCTGCTAGGTCCAGTTTTTGAATCTTTTTCTAATCTCAGTCTTAGATTCTTCTTCTAGGTTATATCTGATTGGGATTGGATCTTCCCTAGTCTTTTTCAGTCTGATGTATATTTCTACAATTAGTAGCTGATGGACTGATCCACAGTCAGCACCTGGCAGTATTTTGCAATTTCAGCATATTGCTGTTCCATCTCTTGCTACATAATATATAATCTATTTGATTATGCTGTTGTCCATTTGGAGATGTCCAAGTGTAGAGCAGTATTCTGTTGTTGTTTGTTGTTTAGTCGTTAAGTCGTGTCCGACTCTTCGTGACCCCATGCAGCCATTTTCTACACATAAGTCTATCAGTCTTTGTTCTGTATCATTGCAGGTTCCTAGTCCAAATTTTTCAACCATTTTCAGTACAGGTTCCTCTCCAACTTTTGCATTAAAGTTGTCAGTGATTATTAGAACATCCTTCTCTGGTGTTTGATCTATTATGTGTTGTAATCTTCCATAGAATTCATCAATCACTTCTTCAATGTCTGCTATTGGGCATAAATTGTATAATTGTGTAGCTGAACAGCTATCCTTGAATCCTGATGGAAATTATTGTGTCACTGGGTTGTATTCCATCACTCATGCAGTTATATGTTTTGGGTCAATAATTGCTTCTCTGTTTTTTCTTTGATTTCCATGTTCCAATTTGTCTAATTGGAAATGTCCCATTCCTGTCCATTTTCGTTCACTTACTCCTAGAATTCCTGTTCTAATCTGTGCCATTTCTGCTTTAATAATTCTTTTTTGCTTTTGTTGGTTCATACTGCAGGTGTTTCTTGTACCCATCCTAACTGTTTTCAGTAAGCTCTGAGCTTTTGTTTCAGTTCTGACCACATCAGGAATTCGACTTCCCGAAGGCTTTGATCCAGTCACCTTGTACTGCCTAGACCTACTTGATAAAGCTCTTTGCTCTTCCCCAGTAGCCCAGTAGTTGCTTCCAGATGTCTCATCTGGGTGTCTCATAGTTTGACAACATGACACTCTTTGTTACTGAGCTTCTATCCATGGATTTTCTTGGGATATGTGAAAAGGTAGCTTGCCATTGCTTTCTTCCTCACTGTGCCCCGACCAATAGATAATGCAACCTCCGCTGAGGCTGCCTGGTCATGAACCCATCCCCTGTATTTCAGCTTGGCCCTATGCCAGAACTGACTGCCCCATGTCTGCAGCCAAGGAAGTGGGGCTGGACTATAAAGGCAGTTCATACATTTGTGCTGATTATATTGGCACAGTGCCGATTATGTTTTATAGTGGTGTATATTGTATGCAATTCTGATTTATGTGTACTACACTTAATTATAAGTGCACTCTAAATAAAACTAACCCAACTACTACTACTACCAGAACATAGATACTTCCAGAATTTGATCTGTTTAAAGCTTAAGTTGGGTAAAATAGTGTGGAAGTTTAAACCTCAATCTTTTATTCCAGTTAGATACATTCAGTTTTAGGTTGTAGTAATGTTAATTCAGTCAACGACCAGCAAGATTTACAACATTTACAACACAAGAGTCAAATCAA